AAATTGATATAGAGTTGAATTGTATAAGAACGCTGTATAAGGTCTTGAAGTATTTGCTAACGGTACTTGCCAATAACCATGAGTTAAATCCATTGTGGATATACATTGTATTCCATGATGGCATTGCAATAACTCAGAAATTAAAGGTGGTGTTTCATTATCTCCTTCTATTACATCGTTCAAAAATCTTGCATCAAGGCACAATCGAATTTTACCATTCTTTTTCTCTACTATACGTAATGGATTACAGTAAGGACTACAAGATCGCTCAATGATACCGTCCTCTAACATCATTTTTAATTCTTTTTCAACAGCTGTACGTTTTGCCAATGGTACAGGATATGATCGCTTTATGTAGGGTTTAGATTTACTCAAATGAATTTCATGTTGATAATGGGTTATGAAACCAGGTTTATCAGAAAATAAGCGTTTGTGCTTCACCATAAGATTAACAAAATTATTCCGCTGGTCTGGTCTCACAGATGTTAGACTTTGCGCGATTGATGATACATCGGCTAAAAAACTATCATTCTCTACTTGATTACTTTGAAGTGGCGTATTTTTTAACTGGTTGGTACTATTTGTTTTGTCTATCGCGGAAAGTTCATTGACTAATTTATCTCGCTCCGGAGGTACCCCACAATAACATTCAATCTCACTGGTAAGTATATTATCAATTTGACAACACTCGGAATTAACATTATTATCATATAAATCAGAAATACTGGAATAACGCTCATCAATGGGACTGCGTAACTTCACAGTATAATTATCATCATGTTCATTTACATCAATAAGGTCAAATGGTATATTATTCATATCATGAGAGTAAGATAATTTTATAAGATCCAAACGATCTTGATTCTCTGAATATAACAAGGAATCCTGGATGCTCCCTAAATTTTGAATGGATACATCATTATTGAAATCATTACACACGAGATTTAAATTTTCTTGTACAATATCACCAGAATCACAAGTATCATGAACACTCCGAGATAATGGGATTTTATTATTATTTTCAAAGTCAGTTATTACTCTTGGTGAGTGACCACATTCCCTTTGTTCCAAAACAAATTGTTTCTTTTGAACTGCAGATAGCGATACCTCCTCAGCCGCTGCACCACCAAACATCGTGAGATTTGACGGGATTTCATATTGACGGACTGTAAGAGTTCTCAATTGGTAGTTCAATATCGCACCTACTCTATTTAACCAATCATTCCCCATAATTATAGGAGATGTTAACCCTGAGACTACATAAAATATATATTCATCGGATAAATCACCTATATAAAACGGCATAGACACCTGTTTATTTACAATAGTTGTTTTCTTTCCTACAGCTGTGAGGACTTTTAAATTCTTAACTGGGAATTCTAACATATTAAATTGACTTACAACTTGTTTATAAAATAATTCTGATATACATGTAACTTGGCTTCCACTATCCACTAGGGCTGCATAATTCCTATGTCCTACCGTAAGAAACACATGAAGACATATATTCTTATCCTGATTTTGCATTTTACTATTTCCATGCTCATTCCCAATAAGGTCCTCTTCCAACTCATCAAGAAAATCAAAAGGTTTAGGGTGTGAGGTCGGACCCATATTAATCACACCCATCGTTAGTTTAAAGAATTACTGTTATTCGGAAGAATATTATTACTTGAATTTAATTGACTATTAATCGGCGGAGGAAACCGTGTATCCGGCAAAATGATATCTCCTACTGGATTTTTAATTTGTCTTTGCTGACGTTTAATGTTATTTCGATTTCGCGACCAATTCCCCCTATGACCCTTCCAATTGTTATGATTATTCGAAAATGAGTGATCTTGATCGCCTTCTTCGATACTAACTTTATTTAGGTTTTGCTTATGATAACCTTCAGTATTACCTCGATTATGATTTTTTTTTTCTCTTTCTTGCTCGATTTCTCGCGACTTGTCCAATTGTTCCAAAGCCTGAGTTAAAATGACAGTATCTGCGTAATCAACCGCAGCTAATAGCTCACGTACCTTCATAGGCAATTGTTGAATAATAGTATAATGCACCTCGTATACTCCAATTCTGGGTGATAAATATTGCGCGGCCTTGATTTGATCATAAAAATATGTTAATAGGCTACCATCGGAAATTCTATATCGCCTTTCTTGCCATTTATTCTTTAGACGAATCCGAACAGGAATTGAATAAAATTCAGCCTCAAATTGTTGCTCAAAGTGTACGTAATTACGAAAATCCTCCCTATGTATAATGAACCAACTAAGAGCTCTGCCTGTTAGACAAGACTCTACAATATGAAGTTTATTTTCCTCTGGCACATCTTTTACCCGAAAATACCGTTCAAGCTCACGTAAAAATTGTTGTGGATTAGACATACCATGATCGGAAAATTTAGGCAACGGAATATCCACACGACTACCTCGTAAATGCTCAACAAGTTTTTCGACTAAAGGTAAACCTGAGTCACTGCTATTTGGTGAATTTACTGGACTTATACGGTCGTCTCTAGCCTCTAATAGAGTTACCCTTTGTCGCTCAGCTGTTAACTCTGAACGTAGTTTTTGCAACTCTCTATATACGTCCTCCAATTGACTAGGCATAATATTATTTTGACCCTCAGCCATCGTAACCTGCCTGCTATCACTCTCAAGATTACTTTCTCTAACTTGACTTCTGCCTGCTATATCACCTTTTCCACTTATAATATTCACATTATTATCACTCTCTTTCCTCTGATTTCTAGTTTTCATAGGCGTATGCTTTAAGCTCATATTAACATATAAAATTTAAACACGATCTATAACAAAGACTAATTTTTTATCTTGCCCCACGTTGGGCGCCAATTGTACTTTTTTCTTTAATTTCTTAACATGAATGGTTTACTTATGGACACTAATAATCGCTATACAATTATCTTAAAATTTTCACCATGATATTAATTCCACGTTCATTTATAACCCATTCAATTTATAAAATTACGAAATTAAACGTACTCATAAAAAAAAAACATTGAAATAGAACTAATAAATTATACACTAAAGTCAATCTTATAGGAACCGATTATAATTAATATTTCTTATCTGTCTGGATAATGATGACGGTGTCCACCGGTTTAGTCTCCTTATTTGAGTCCTAGTTCGGTTCGTAACGACTCAACAGTTTTATAATATACAGGTGGTTTTACATGGTAGATTTTGTTGTTAAGTGATCGACTTCCTCCAAGCGCTTCGTCAACTTATCATCTGTTATCCAGTTTTATCGTTTTATAAAGAATTTAGGTCCTCATTTAGAAACCCTGTCGCCTAGTAGGAATGTGCATTAAATAAAATTAATAATGGAATATATATATATAAAATATACAACGGAATGTATAATACCTTTGATCGCACTTAGCACACGCCTTGCTTACACGACGGTCAATTGACGAAAGGGAAGAGCACGATAATTGCTATTCCTACCAGGGACTCTTACTTACTGGAGAGGGAAATCTATCGCCGACAACGCTATCTATTGACTTAATCTTAAAGAGTTTGTAACCGCGAGTTTCGTTACAATTCGCAGGGAACTCACTGGGTAAACGCACGTTACAATTTTCCCCCTCGAAATACGCATAACATAAATAGGCGTAATTCGATATACTTATATTAAGCTTGTCAGATGTAATATAAAAGGAACATAACACCAGCCATCCCTTTGTCTTTTGCGTAATATGGTTACAATTTTATACATTACTATTAAGCTGTTCGCACTTTGTCAGTATTAAGATTGCTGAGTGGAGGCTCATACATATATCATTACTATCAACATACAACTATTTAGCACTATAACGATTACGTTAACTTACATACATAACATATTTATATACCACTTTATGTAGTATCATACGTCAATTATAATGGTTTGCTTTTAAAACTAAAGATTTTAATAAATTAATTACTCATTGGTGGTTTTAAGGTGATATAGCTTCAAAGATAGCCTATTGTAAGTACCTATGATGTGAGCTTGATTAGTATTCTCAGACAAAACGTAGGCATTTTTTCCAATTAATTTGACAATTTTATACGGCCCTTCATATAAATGAAAAAATTTCTTAGTTACCGAATCCATTGCATTTGACAAATGTGGTACACGCAACAAGACGAGGTCTCCAACTGTTAGCTTAACTTGAGAGATTTTTGACTGTTGTTTCTTCCGATTTTGAAATTGCCTATCAATACATTCCCTGGCCATCAAAAGCTGGGTATCACGTGGAATTGGAGTTCCTGGTGGAAATTGTACAAATCTTGTAATTGCATCTGGGACTTTAATTCCAAAATGCAACTCAAGAGGTAAACAACTAGTGCTACTATGCTTTGTTATATTCAACAATTCTTCTATTTTTTGTAGATATTGAACCCATTTTGTGTGTCTATCAGCACATAATGTTCGAAAAAGGCGTCCAAGCTCTCTCATAATCCTTTCTGTGGGATTGGACTGAGGATGACGTATAGACGAAAAAAGTACTTTAACACCTTCTTGTTGCAAGGTTTTCTTCCACAAATTAGCGGTAAACTGGGTTCCGTGATCAGCGAGGATACGTTTTGGCTTTCCAGTATTCGAAAAGTAATCATGTAATATTTTATTAAGAGCAGCCCGAGTTGTAGCCTTTTTAAGTGCATACAATCGGATGAATTTAGAAAATACATCCAAAAGAACGAAAATATATTGTACCCCTCCTCTCGATTTTGGAAGCGGTCCATAAAAATCTACAGTCACTAATTCATTTGGACGATCGGCAGTAATAAGCTGATATTCCCCTTGCATATTTTGCGTGTTAGGCTTCACTCTTTGACATAGGTCACAAGTTTTCACGAAATATTTTATATTTTGTCGCATTGATTTCCAATAAAAATATCGTTTCATGTATTCAAAAGTTTTATATGTTCCAGCATGACCAATTTTCCGATGACAGATACTAATTAATAATGGGGTCAATTTATTATATTTCAATCTGAACGTAATTTATTTTCGATAGTCTACAATTTCAATTCAATTTTTATCTACTCCGTATTTTTGCCATGTATTGATTTAACCTCAATTTTTTATTTTGAATAAATTTTGAAAGTAAATCAAGATCCAATAATATTTTGGTAAAAATTAAGGTGCTACACGGGTGTCAAATTGACACTGCATTTTCTTATGAATGTTTTTAAAATATTTCAACAATAGGCTTTTTCAATAATTCTTCAGAAATTCTATAGTTCCCGGTCTCGTTTGAAGGGTTGTTTTGAAGGGGTGTCCCTAAAACCGTAGCGTATTGAATGTCCTTACTCATCTCTGGTTCGCATTTCGAAGTTATAGAGTGATGCTGCCCCCTGTAACAGAATTTAAATTCAGTTCGAATTCGCTTGGCTATAGTTTATATCATAATAGCACAATGACAGCGAATCAGTTTCATAATGAAAGAATCGCTAGTTAGATCCCCTACAACGGACTTACTTTTTTATATTGAAACGACTTCATTTCATTTATATAATACCTTGACACGATACTTCATGAAGCAAATGTTTGTATGAACACGCAATATAGGACGTGCGTTGTACAAAACTAAAGTAAATATGTACATCTATTAATTAAAATGAAGGCACGCATAAAAGAATTTTTTCATACATTATAAGTCTGCAGAATTTAGTAAAAGTTTAAAGAAGACGATACAAAAATATTCTATCCGTATATTTTTCGCGTTGATTAATTTACAAAGTGATATCTAATATTTACGAGAAAAATACTTCCATGCTCCATCAAAGTAATTTCATATAAGTATGTTGCATACGTTTTTATGAATTTTGCTTGATTAAAATATATAGGTAATGTTTGACCAATTAAATATAATCGTAACAAAAGAATTTTGAGACTCTTTTCGTATGAACTAATGGAAAGATGGAAAATTGAAAGAAAAAGATGGAAAAGAGTAAATATTTCATAAAGGCTCGAACACAAATTCTTCGTTTTTCAGACGGATCTGATGTTTCAGGACTAACCATACAATCTATTTAATATAATCAAGGAACATATATTTCCCTTATAATTTACATTTCGACTAATTTTAACTTTATTATTATTTATTAATTTATTAATGGGAGATTACAACCGCTAAATAATCTAACCCCGAGCTGAAATAAATACCTTATTTAATATCAACAATTAATACGTTAAGCATATACTTACTTAATCAACCACAAAAATGTTATGTAATAAAATATTGTAAAGTAATTTTAGGTCCTTTTATTGCACACGATGCAAGTTGCCTGTCAAGACGAACATTTGGCGCCAAATCTAGCTGGAAAACGAGGGATGTAACGGTTAAAACATAAGAACATCGCGGCAGCGAGTGGTCAGCCAGTCAGAGTAGAGACGGTCCATTGACGTCAACGTCCAAATGCGCAGAACCGCTAGTGGCTATACCTCGTCTATTTGCATCATAGGTACAGCGGCCGCTGTTCCACCTACCTCGGATGCCTTCGGCCATAATTGAAGAGTGGAGCTGCAAAACAAAACGGTGCGACCTTTTGCTCGAATCGATACGGCCTCGGACTTGGAAGACAGGGAGAAGTGGCATGAGAGACAAGAGACGAGAGAAGAGAGAAAAGAAAACAGAGAAGCTCTGCGTGGACCCAAGTACCCAGGTGTTACAAGCTCTCACGATTGAAACGACCCCTTGGCTTCTATTGTCTCGCCTTTACAGCTGCCTACGGAAGAAGCATTGGGGAGGAAATCGACCCGTGTCCAGCAAACCTAGCATACCTACTGAACCGACCCCGCACGAGAGCAGCTTGATTCCGCTTTGGAACGAAGCGCAACTTTCTCACGCGTACAAGCGACAGGATGATATTCCTCGATTCGACTCCTCGAATTATACGATTTCTCTCGCTCGTCATTTATCATTGGATCGAAGGAAAGCTCTCTCAGTTACTGCCTGACCGCTTTCCTCGAATTCGTATTTTAACCGATACGTTCCAACTACTCGAATGGTTTTGTTTGCCGAGTGCCTTAATCGTGTAAGATCCTGATATTTCGCATGGGTGACATATGTAAATAGAGATCGGATAAGGAAACTGTGGGTCGTTTGTTGAACGAACGAATAATTGGCATCAAAGTTACACGAAGAAACTTTTAAATATAATTTCTGGAAATCCGGATCCTCGATTCTTGATCATCAATTTTGAATTGGATTTACTTGAATTAAAATATAAAACTTCACAGTCTGCTGGTACTGAAGGAAGCTGATATCGTTTCCAGTTTCTAATGGACGGGAAAAATGTCGAGCACACTGCCTGACTTGTAGCGGCTGAAACGACCAGTGGCTATCAGGGGCAGTTTAATCAGGGTTCCCAGCTTCAACATTTCTGACAATAGCAATGCAAAAAAGCTGCAACTTTTTTGTTGGGTAAAGTTATAGCTGAAGCAGGGGCGATTAGTCGGAGGTTTATTTGGCAAGCAACGTTTGCAGCATGCAATTTTTATGTATATTCTGTCGTTGACGGCTTCGGTGACGCGTGGGAAGCATGCCCTTCGTGTTTCAGTGATACTGAATATAGATTTATGATTTGCTGTTGGTACTCGTTGATTTTATTGTAAAAATTGAAACAATCGAGGTGACGACAGTAACAGTGAAAGGGGTTTTTAGATTTGAAAAGTTTGTATCCGAAAATGGTCGATAACTCGTGAAACTCGCAACACTTGGGTGGCTTTCTTATCTTGGCTGGATATGCTGATGATGCGTAAACTTGGCGAATCCTTAGAGATTTCGGCGCGCCGTAAAAATCAAATCCCTCGGTTGACGGTAGTTCGCAAAGCCGTTAAGCTCTCTGCGCCAGCGAGGCGCTATGATTAGACTAAAGTTTATCGGAAAATTCACAGTATACCAAACCCTCCCTGTGCATTGCACTTTCTCGGTTGACACTCTCTTCTTTTTGTCGCAAATCACCGACCAGCAACACAATTTCGTTGTACATACATCGAATATCGAATATAACGCGTGGTACTCTTGTCTATACCACTTTGGGTTAAAAAAAAAGATGAAATTCTAAAATGCGATCTATGCGAATGCCCTTAATCTGCATTCTTCTAAGAGGAACCAAGTGTCTCCAAGACATAGGCACTATATGTGATATCTCATAAAGAAATAGGGACATTTCTAATGAAACTGACAATTCACAGGGGAGTACATATTCCTGGTTAATTAATTGCACGCGGGGTTTCTGCCGCCGAGCAGAGTTTGCTCTCCCCTGTTGTCAAGTGGTTAATAATGGTTTGGCGGGCTTATAGTATGCTAATGAGAGAATGCCGGTAGCTATACTGAATCTGCGAACACTGGACACACGAAATTGGTATACAGCCTCTATAGGTGCTTTATGAATTTAATCGTAGAATCGTTCGATTCTTTGAATTTATGAATGTGCGCGATCTCGGTGTTACGTGTTAAGAGAAACGTCGTGTCTGCCTCCGAAAATTGGAAACTCGGTTCGTCTTAGACCCTTAACTGAAATGTTAATTATCAGTGCTAGGTCTGGCTGCTGAAAGCACGAAATTGATGACCCTGCGCGATAAAAAACGTGCACGCCCTCCTGCCTGCTGTACAATTATCGATCATATAAAAATAAATAATTAATGAGGCACATTCGCGGCCTTCTGGATCGAAGCTGGCTGGTTCTGGCTGTATGGCTAGTTAATTGTCAGGAAGCTATTTTCCAAAAGAAAGGGGCGGCTAGGTAAAATATACGTCCAAAGCTATACGGCGACTGAAACGTATAAATACCATGTATATTGCAAAAAGCTTGGACTCTGCAAATCACTGGGTAATCAGAACCGCTACTCGTATGCTTTTTTTTCCCCACATTCTTCCGATCCAGTACTCTCTCTCTCTCTTACTCTGCTATTCTTTGAGCACGGTAGAGCATGCTTTGCCTTTAATAATGTTTACGAATAGCACTTGGTGGTTTGTAAATGTTTCCAACTTTTTCACGGATTTCTTCGAAAGGTTTTTGAGTTCGATGATAATCCGAAAGCTTTCAGTTGCTATCACGGAATGCTATTGGATACCAATATGCCATGTTTTTACGATAATGAAACCAAAAACTCAATGACTTATGGATATTTAGATAAATATATTTTAATCCTCCAGTTCCACCATCTTAGTCCTTTTAATTAGCGAGTAGTATCGATTAATTGATAAAGATTAATAGAAAGACCTTATGTTGAAAATGAATATTTTGGTTTGAGATATTGCCCAGCTATTAAAGCAAAGTTGGAATTCGTTCCCGGTGACACGCAGCGAATTGAGCCTTTAAAGGGAGGTCAGTACTTTCAGTGCATTCTCTCGTAAATACTTTTGGTTTTTAGTCAACGGGAAACGAATCGGCAACAGAAAATTACCGTATAAAGTTCTTGTGGGATTCGGGGCAACTTTAATGGCCTTACAAATCTCGGTGAAATAGAACTATTTCCTTAGAATCCTGTCTCCGAGTATCCTTGTTCTTCCGGCACGACATTCTTGTCTTCGCTGACCCACATTCATTCTCAACCAAAAAATGGATCAACAACATAAATCAACGTCCACTTTACATTAGCGCTGTATTCGCTTGGCTCCGTGGAAGCTAACAATCTGGATGATTAAACCATTAGTAAAGGACACTCATTTTACTCAGAGTGCCTGAGTCCCTCGAATCATTCGCGAATCAACTTATTTTCTGACAATTATTTCATTTACGTTCATTTATACATATTAGGTAACTAGTATTATTTTAGGATAACATATTTGCTTGAGAATCGCGTTGTATCAAGTTTCAAGCGAAAGGGCGAGCTTTTCTCTGATTTGATTGACGATGCATCGTCATACTACCTGCTGAGTAATTCAGGTGATTAAACTTGTCGAAGCAATTGAATCGTTTTTCAAAATGGCAGAACAGCTTTTCCCAATGAAATATTTATAAATCGTAATAACGTTTCGTGCGAACATAGAGAACCAGGAGGTCACGGACAGCCGAATATTCACGTATTCCTCGATACAAATATTTTTCCAGTTGATCTCGCGGCTGCAATTTTACGAGGCCATTTGTAGTTTGCTGTCGGTCATTCGCGGCTGAACATTTGTCAAAACGAAACAATTTCCGATACAACTGTAAGCCCCGAGGTTTTAGGCCAAAGATTTGCGGTTTAATGGTTTCATCGAGAATGACTCGATTGGGATGGGCCAGGAGGATCGAAGAAAGGAAGCGCGTTAGACAGATTTTATGGGGCGCTGGCTCAAGGTTCCGTTCGTTTCTTATTTATACTCCAGGCATTGTGCGTGAAAACTCGCTACTTCTCGGCGAGTAAAGTCAATTGATCCTACGAAGCAATCCCATTTAAGCGGTTTATGTCGGGTGCCGGATATTTTTAGGGAAGCAATAAGAAGAGAGGCGTCATGCACAGCGGAGTCGCGAAGAGACTTTTCGTGCTAGCGCTTGCAATTTTGTGCCGAACGTTTCCTTAAAGTGGGAAAGTGCTTTTCATAAAGCGACCTCATTTCGGCACACCGCTCTTTCTTCTTCCCGTACGCCTCTTCTGCGAGGAGCTGCGATTTAATTCAATTTTCATAAATTTGTGGGGTTGAATCGGTGGTTTATGATAATAGCCCATGCCTCTGTACGAAAACGGATATTCCAAATGGTAAAGGTTTTTCTTTTCTTTTTTTTCCCCTGAAAGTAGAGAGCCTCCTATATACATATATCTCCGTATTTACGAGAATCGAAGGAAGAACGTACCTTCAATTAATTTTGTAAACGTACTTTGACTCGACTCGACTCAATCTGGCTCTCAAAGACGAGAGATCCCCTTAAGTTGCCGGAACGTCAAAAGGGCTTTTGGCATTTCTGAAAGAATTTAAGGAATTGCGCGGTTTACAATATTCGAGGGATATCAGGCCACGCGAGAATCGTCATGTCGCGAAAAGATGGCTGAAACGAGGGAACGAATCTTCCGCCGCTCTTTGCAATCTTAGACTTCCTCTTCTATGCTAGAACAATAACTGTTTGAGTTTCTGAGGAAAGAGCAATTCTTGAATATGTTTTAAATAAAATGCCACTGCGAAAAGTATTCAGAGCTATTTTCTCTAAGCAGCGAGGAACAGGACAAGAAATCCAAACAATATTTTGAATTGCTAAAATATTCCGTTGAATACATTGCGCCTTAATATTATTCGGAGTATAATAAGTCGGCTTCGAGGGAAACTTTAACATCGACAGCTCATTCTACCTTTCGGCGGTTCTTGTATCAATTTGCATCTGATCCAGTTACTACTTACTTTTCTTACTCTCGAGCTTTCGCAACCCCTTCGCTCAATCCAGGAGCCCAAATTATTTAGACTCACTTTCATCTCTTTGGGTTAGATACTGTCAGCTGCTCGCAACCTGAACATATAACAGCTTCACTCGATATCATTTCTGACAATAAACGTATTGAACGTAGGTACGCGTATGCAAACTGCTGCAACAATACGTTTCTCGTACGTTGTTCAATTGTATCTCGATTTGGATATCGACGCGGATACATGTGAATGTATTTTTCGGTGGGTCTCTTGCGTATCAGATTCTGTTCGTGACAATTTTTCACTCTAGGATTAATCTGAGATCGAATATTATGCTTGTTTAAGTGACAAAGGAAGCCGCATTCGGAATAATAGGATCATGTTGAAATTTCGAAGGTTACTCGTCATGACTGTCTTAATGATGATGGACCATGTGCGTCTCGGTAAAGGTACCCGAATCTTTCAAAATGAAAAACATCATGACAGCGAAAAGACCGTACTTCGTGGTGAGACGTGCGAGAATCGAAGAATGTTCGATGGATCCACGAGTAAAATGAAGGCATGCTATCATAACTTGACATTCCTGCAGGACGTTACAGTCGAAATATCCCGCTCGACGAAGATTGTGAGATTGTCGTTCCACGCAAGGTTAGATCGGACGGAAGATTCATCTCGCACAGTATACCGCATCACTTCAAACGCACGTTTTATGGAGACAGAGCTCGGAAAGAAATGACACCCGACGATGCTCTTCACTATCGTTTGCGAATCAACGGCGTTGAGCACCACTTGGAACTCTATCCGAATAATCGGCTTGTCGGACCAGGCGCCGTGCTCGAGCGTCGAATTCTGAAAGGCCACGCGGAACCTCCCAGTGACGAAGCATTTTTGAGAGGGTCAACATTCAAGCGGTTACGCGATACGCAGTGTCACTATCAGGGCGGAGTACGCGAACATCAACAGAGCAGTGCTTTATCCACTTGCTACGGTCTGGTCGGTTTATATGCTAGCTCAATCTTTGAATTCGTTCTTTTGAGTGCCCGAAGAAGTTGTCGTTCGATTACAGGCTGGCTACATCAGGACGAAGCGCTCGTGGTACATTATCGAACCGATGGCAGATCATGATTTCACTAAAGAAACGGAACATCCTCATATTCTTCATAGAACGAGTCCTAGAGACTTTCAAGAGGGAATGGAAAGTCTCTGTAACGTAACCGGGAAGTTCTCCGCGAGAAAATTAAAGAGAGCTGCAGACGTGGTTCAGAGAAATCTCTCGAGAGTCGAGCCTAAATTTTATACCGTCGAGCTACTTCTGGTACTTGACAAGACTCTTCTGGATTATCACAGAAACTTCGACGTTGAGAATTACGTTTTAACGCTCTTCAATATGGTACATCGAAGGGCTGTCGATTTGCCGCGTATCGCAGCCCCTTAAATTTCTTACGTATTTCGCCTTTCAGGCTGCCGGTTTGTTTCACGACGTAAGTCTGGGTATCGAAATGGAATTAACCATCGTTAGAATTATTAGGCTAGAAGTAGAAGAGGACGAGGTACACACAGAAAATACGGTGTTCCATTGGCTGTAAACTTATTGTCTTGCAATATTGCAGATGAATTTGTCGGTAAGTAAGGATGCTGGAGAGACAATGAAGTACTTTCAGGAATGGCAACGAATGATAAATCCGGGAGACGATTCGCACCCGAATCATCACGATTGCGCGATCCTCTTGAGCAGGTATCCTTTCTAGAATCCACGTAATGGAATATCCATTGACGATCGATCCTCCGCCAGGATAGATTTTTGCAAAACGCAGAGCCTTTGCGGATTCACTGGAATGTCGACAGTCGCAGGAACTTGCGATCCTCTCCGAGCTGCTGTGGTCCTTAGGGATGCTGGGCTGGAGACCGGCTACCATATCGCCCACCATATCGGGCATACGTAAGAATCGAAAGAACAAGGAATAATTCGTTAACGCACCATTCTAACGCAATGTACTTTGTGCGTAGGATTGGCATGTCTCACGATCTGGAAGAGGAGAACGGTTGTCCAGGAATCACCGTCCATCAGAATGGTTACATCGAAACCTCAGTCATGTATCCAGGATACCATTACGTGACAAAGAAGTGGTCAAAGTGTTCCCAGAGTTATGTCAAGCTTTATCTTGAGTAAGGAATCCCAATTGCGATCCGCAGGCCACTCTGCTTAGTCTACATTTTTAGCGTTCACTTTTTTTCTCTTACGTCTATTCAGAGCAGGAATGGGATCGTGTCTATCGGACGTTCCTCAGGACCACCAATTCCCGTTGATAGATATGTTACCGGGAGTTATGTACAATGGCGACGATCAATGCCGGTTAAGATACCGTCAGGATGTTAGACAGTGTGACCTGGGAATCGTGAGTATGAAAAATGTCCCAAGACTTTCTTCTTAGAGTAGAGAATAAATATCTTACGCAAGGAGTCATTTTCCTATCAAGCCAATTGTCTGCCTTGGTTTGAACGGTATAGACTCTCTCTCTCTCTCTCTCTCTCTCTCTCTCTCTCTCTCTCTCTCTCTCTCTCTCTCTTTGGAAGTACTTTTCAGTTAGTTTTAATTTTAACGCCAGCCACTCTACTGTCTCGCTGGACCTTTTTCTCTTATTTTCCTGGAAGGAGTTGTCTCGTGTCTATGATCTCTCTCGCCTTTACGAGACCACTTATAAATATTAAGCTGCGAATCAACAGAGAGTAGCAAACTGGCTCTGTGCTTCGTTAAATTCTGACTTCTTTTTCGAAATGCCCGTTGTACATATCTCTGGATACTCTTGGCAGACGAAGGAAAGTACACGTGCGCGAAAATTCACATCAAAGTAGGTTTTTCGGCAGGGGGGGGG